TCTCTGGTGTCAATTGATTAATGTTTCGGCCGGGCTTGTTGTGTTTTCTCTGAGTTCCCAGGTTAAAAAACCGAACAGTTTTACTGTAAAAAAAACACTAAATTAAACTTATTTTTGTGTTTTCTGAGGTCAGTCGGTTGTGGCGGCCATCACTGGGGATCAATTATGATTGAACTTCCTATCAATACTTTGAGAGTTTGAATAAAATTCATCCAGTGGTTCATGGGATATTTTGCTAACAGACAAACTAAAACATTAAAATAATTTCTTTGACTGATCTAGTTCCAACTAGTGGCAGCAAGAGGAACTGCAYCCTGTATATTCAGTTTATGAATCAAACTTTGGTGTGAATTCAAATGTATAAAATGTGTGATTTAGTCCAACTTGTTGATGCTAAATGACAGAACAGACAAAAATATAACATTCTGATTTTTTCCTCAGGTTTTTGGGGTATAGTTAACAGCAGAATCTCAAAGTCTGCAGCTTCAGTTGTTTATCTGCTCTTCTCTGCAGGACTCYGATCCATCCTCAACCAGAACCTCAGTGAATTAAATTAAAGCTGTTTTCTTCAAACCCCACTGGAGATCCTTCTTGGACTAAAAGGATGATTCCCACTGGACATGTTGTGCTGTTTGGATCCATTTTGTCTCTGTCCCGGGACAATCCACACTAGGTTTGAATAAAGGAACATCAGAGACGTCCACAGTGAAACACCAGAGCTCAGTCTGAATGTCAGCCATTGTTCTTGAGATGTTTGACTCTGACAGACCTTCCCTGGGATCCATCATCATCGTCCTGAAGAGTCTTCCTCTTCAGTTCACAATGAAGTAAACAAAAACAGGAGGGTCAATCAACCCAAACCGAAGCAGGAAACCTGTTGGTTCTCTGAACACTGAGCCCCTTCTCCTGACTGCAGTGAAGGAGCGAGGGGCGTGTTCAGAGGTCCCACCCCCATCAGGCTGCCACTTGCAGATGGAGGCCCACCAACACTCCCCAGATAGCAGCAGCGAGGAGTGTACCGTCCTGGAGGCTCCGCCCAGCAAGAACACCTGTCCCCAACATGCAGGGAAGGTAAGATATAGAYGTCCAAAAGCCCAACCACAGCTGGTTTATAGAAGTTTTATTTATTTGTTCAGCTGTTGGGRTATTTAATTTGGATTTGTTTCTTTTTAGTCAGGTGATCTGGATTGATTGGTTGAAGTAATTTTTATTGATTTTCTAACTTTGAGTCTCAACACTGACATAAAACTATGTGTAAGCCACTACGACTTRAGTTTTAATTAAGAGGTAATCTTTCCAAATTATGAGGTAAAATTTTATAACTTTGAGAAACTATTTCATTGTCATGACTGTGGATCTATAGAATGCTGATGTCTAATGAAAAATTAAACATTTATTCCTCCTGTGTCGTATAAAGCTGTAACAAATATAATAAACCTGATTTAAAGCCACGTTTGGTCCTGCAGGTGGCTGACCTGTACTGTTCAGCCTGTGAGTGTGCGCTCTGTGAGGACTGTGTGTCGGACCACGAAGACCACCCCCAGGTGCCGCTCAGCCAGGCGCTGGAGCAGCACCGGACCCGGCTGCAGGAGAGGCTGGGGGCCGTCCAGGGCAGGTAGAGATGGAAATAATAAAATATCCTGTTTGTTTTTGTTTCATCTGTTTCTGTCTTTAAGAATCACTGCAGAGGAAACACCAATGAAAGAATGAGCAGTTAAACCTGGTACCCTTCCTGACAACCTGGACTCAAACCTGCAGTCTCTGCATTCAGGGCAGCAGCACTGACCGCTGAGCTACTGCAGCCCACCCTGTTTGTTTTGACTTCTGTTAGTGTGGTTTGTTAAAACCTTGGTGATTATTCCCACAAGATATATACAGTATATAAAATATATATTACAGATTGTTATATTTGCAAAAAATTTTTATTTAGGAGGTGAAAGAATGCAGTGTGACAGTTACTTCATGAGAAAACACTGGCATAGTGGACAATTAGAGGAAACCCAGGATAGTAGTGAATCATTAACATCAGGTTTACAATCATCCTGATTTTGTTAARGATTTATAAACYTAGTGACAACTTTCAAGATAAAAGCTTTTCTTCACTTTTCTTCTCCCTCCTCCAGACTCCCCCAGATCTCCGATGCTCTGTCCTTCGTTAAGGAGATCCTCCAGCAGCTGACCAGTCAGAGAGCTTCCATCGAGGAGGACATCCAGTCCAGCTTTGAGGACCTTCACAAGCAGCTGGACGTCCGAAAGAGCGTCCTGCTGATGGAGCTGGAGGTCACGTATGGACTCAAGCAGAAGGTGCATAAACACAACGAAACAAAAAGAAAGAGACATGTTTAAATAACATATTCAGGTGTGCTGGTTTTTTAAAGCAACAGAACTCTAGGTCAAACATTTCAGTGCCTCATATCTTCAYTGATGAAGGTTGATGTCACCAGTGYCTCACATCGGGTGTCATTAGTAWCTTTTTTGTTCTTKAAGGTAAAAAACAATGGAAAAGGAACAGGACTTGCATTATTGTCCAAATTATCCTTCCTTAAATTGGCACTGAACAACATTTCCTTGTAATCCAACCTGCAGCACGAAATAAAACCAGAGAAGGTATTGAAAGGTGATTTTTATGTCTTTAGGTCCTTCAAGCTCAGATAGACAGCCTGGTCCGTGGAGAGGGTGACATCACGGCCACCTGTTCCCAGACGGAGGAAGCTCTGGCTGGGGAGGCGTGCGTGGCAAACCTGCAGGTGGAGCGCGAGCTGGAAGAAAAGCTGATGGAGCTGGCCGGCCTCAGGTTTCCATGCCAACCACAGGAGAACGATCAGCTGGACCTGGTGATGGAGACGGACGGACTSAGGAAGTCCATCCACAACCTGGGAACCATCGTTACGACCAGGTGAGAGGTGAGGAAAGCACGTTTCCTGTCTTTAACCTGTCCTAATCTCCATCCTCTTCCTCAGCGCTGTGGCAAGTCAGAGCGAAGCCATGGGCACCGGCCTGGAGCAGTGCATCGTGGGACACCCTGCCTCCGTTACCATAGTAACAAGAGACAAGTCGGGGGGAGCCTGCAAAAGTGGCAACGCCATCCTGTCGGCTGAGGTTTGTTCTTTTTTTTTGGCGTCGTGATAAACTTTTGAGCGCAGTCYTGATAAAACGACTAACCCCGTGTGTTGGAGCAGGTGTTCACCCCCGATGGAAGCATCGTAGACGGGGAAATAGTGGACCACAAAAACGGGACCTATGAGTTCGTCTACACAGTGCCCAAAGAGGGCCACTTCTCCCTGGCCCTCCGGCTGTATGACCAACACATCAAGGGAAGTCCCTTCAAACTGACCATCACCAGGGCCTCGGAGGCGGAGCTAGACGTGGGTCCAACTGTCCCTTACTTCCTGCTTTATATTCTTGTCAATCAATTATGGGATCTAAACTTTTATCTGAAGTTTAGACTGAGTTTAACACGTGAGCTGGAGAAAGGCGTTCGCTGTTCCTGTATGTTCTCTGATGTGTTTTACGTATACTTCTCCAGGTGTCTCCCTCCACCACAACAGCAACCAACTCAGCAGCCAACGCCACCCCATCCACAGGCTCCTCCGAGGGGGCAAAGAGGCGAGGGAAGTCCCCCGGACAGAAGAAGAAGGGCTCCAAGAGGGCCAGCAGCGCCCTGGGAACCCCTCGACGAAAAACCCAGAATCCTATCGAAGATGACCTGATCTTCAAGATCGGTGAGAGATTCATCCGGAAAGAGGGAAAGCTGCAGCTGGTGTTAAAGCTGCAAAACAGAGTTGTCTTTAAGGATAATCAGGTTTAAGAACCAGAACTACAGAATTCACTTGTGTTCTTTTATTTGCACAGGTGAAAAAAATATTATGTTAAGTATACTAAATCTAAGCATACTTAGTATACTTGAAGCTGCACTAATCATCAGTATACTTAAAGAGTGCTATTTTGGAACAACTAATTAAATACTAAATGTACTTTAGTTGTATTTAAATTGTACAAAAGCACAATTTTAAGTGTATTATGTATAATTTTTAATACTAAAATGGAACAACTTCAAATATACTTAGTACAATTTAGGTATAAAGCTTTGTATGTACTAATAACATGCTTAGTTGGT